CGGGGAGGTGGGGGGGATTTGAAGAAGCTGGCGCTGACAGTGAGCCCACTAGCGGGGCGGGGCGGGCGGGCTGCAGCAGCGGTTCTTCGTTGGGCTGTAGGGCACAGTCGCGAGATGCGCACGCCCCAGTGAGCGACTGGTTTGGCGCGGAGCTGCCTGTGTCTGCGCGCGTGTTTGTATCGTTGTGTTCCCGGAGACCAAACCCGGATCCGGCAGCCCGGCGCGAAAGTCGGACCGGGACAGAGAGAAGCAGCAGCAGCGGCATGGTGGGCGTCAGGGTGGCCCCGGCCGCCGACCTGGACCTGGAAGGTAAAGTCGCCGAACTGTCGCAGGGGCTTAGTTAGAACGTATTGTAAACAAAAACGAACTAAGTCGGGCCTCGAGGTGAAAGGTTGCGGATCAGTGTGAGAATTTTCAGGAAAAAGTACTTCTCGCGCCAAAGCGTTTCGGTCGGTTTCGGCGCGGAGGTCTCCAGTAGAGCCTGAGCACAGGGATGCCAGCGATGTGCGTGCCGCGGTTGGTGAAGTGAAGTCTATAGTACGGCACTGTCGAATCGCTCTGGGGGTGACGCGTGCCGGCAGCAAGAGCAGCCTATCTGCGTGGCAGTTACGCCCTTATTATATTGGCCGCTGTGTCCCTAACGTGTACTGGTTAGGTGCCCGACAGCGGTGGTTATATTTATGAAGCCTATAGGCTGGTCGGCTGGTCTGGAGCGCCTGTGGGGTAGGCCGGCCCGCAGGACGCCGGGGTGTGACGGGACTGCCCAGGCTTGTCCGGAGCGCCTGTGGGGTTGGCCGGCCCGCAGGACGCCGGGGTGTGACGGGACTGCCTTGGCTGGTCCGGAGCGCCTGTGGGGTAGGCCGGCCCGCAGGACGCCGGTGTGTGACGGGACTGCCTCGGCTGGTCCGGAGCGCCCACGGGGACGTGGTAGGCTGGTCCGGAGCATCGTCTAGCTGCATTTCGTACTCGCCATACCTAGTCGCCGATTCTTCGCCCCCTGCTCTCCTCCCTCTGTCTCTGACCACTCACCAAAACCTCTCCACCGCATCCCCACGGCCTCAGTGCCTCTACAATTTAGGCCAGTCTCTAATAAACACTTTTATCTTTCAGCTCACAGAAGACTGGTGCTGAAGGGAAAATCGACGACCACCATGGCTAGAAAGTGTGATATTTGTCACTGGACATGCGCATCAGCTCAAGAACATACCATGCATATGCGCAAGCACACCAGGGAAAAACCATTCGAGTGCACAGTGTGCGACAAGATGTTCTCTGAGTCTGGCGACCTGAGAACTCATTTGCGGACACACACTAGAGAGAAATCCTTCGAGTGCACGCTGTGTCATCAGATGCTTTCCAGTGCTGGCAATCTAACGAGACATTTGCGAACTCACACAGAAGAAAAACCATTCGAATGCACGGTGTGCCAAAAATTGTTCTCCCAGTCTGACAATTTGAAAAGACATTTGAAAAAACACACCGGACAAAAATCATTCGAGTGCACGGTGTGTCAAAAACTTTTCTCCCAGTCTGACAATCTGAAAACACACATGAAAAAACACACCGAAATGGAACAATTTGAGTGCACTGTGTGCCAAAAGAAGTTCTCTGAATCGGGAACTCTGAGGAGACATTTGCGAATACACACCGGAGAGAAACCGTCTGAGTGTGTCGTGTGCCACAAGACGTTCTCCCATAGTGATGGTCTTCGTATACATTTGCGAACACACACCGGAGAGAAAGCATTCGAGTGCGCAGTGTGCCACAAGATGTTCTCCCAGGCTAGCAATCTAAGGAGGCATTTGCGAACACACACCGGAGAGAAACCTTTCGAGTGCACCGTATGTAACAGGGTGTTTTCCCAGTCTGAGTCTCTGAAGTCACATTTGCCAACACACACCGGAGAGAAAGCATTCCAGTGCGCCGTTTGCTACAAGACGTTCTCCCACTCTAGCAGTCTTAGAAAACATTTGAGGACACACACCGGAGAGAAACCATTCGAGTGCACCGTATGCCACAGGATGTTCTCTCAGTCTGACAATATGAGGAGCCATATGCTAAAACATACCGAAGTAAAACGATTTGAGTGCACCGTGTGCCACAAGACGTTCTCCGAGTCTTCTAATTTGAGGAGACATTTGCGAACACACACCGGAGAGAAACCATTCGAGTGCACTGTGTGCCACAAGATGTTCTCCGACTCTGGCGTCATGAAGATACATTTGCGAACACACACCGAAGAGAAACCATTCGAGTGCACCGTGTGCCACAAGAGTTTCTCCGAGGCTGCATACCTTCGTGTACATTTGCGAATCCACACCGGAGAGAAACCATTCGAGTGCACTGTATGCCACAAGATGTTTTCCGAGTCTGGCGCACTTGGATTGCATTTGCGAACCCACTCCGAAGAGAAAACATTCGAGTGCACCGTATGCCACAAGAGTTTCTCCGAGGCTGCATACCTTCGTCTACATTTACAAACACACACCGGAGAGAAATCTCTTGAGTGCGTTGTGTGCCACAAGATGTTCATTGGATCTAGCAATCTTACGAAACATTTGCGAATCCACACCGGAGAGAAACCATTCAAGTGCACCGTTTGCCACAAGATGTTCACCGGGTCGGGAAATCTGAAAGAACATTTGCGGACACACTCCGAAGTGAAACCATTCGAGTGCACTGTGTGCCACAAGAAGTTCTCTCTATCAGGCACTCTGAGGAGACATATGCGAACACACTGAAGAGAACCATTCAAGCAATTTACACCGCCCGCCACAAGGGGTCCTCCAAATGACGAAACTAAAGCGCACTGGAGGAAAACCATTCCAGTGCTGCTTTTACATTGATGGCAAAATTGGTTCATTTCATTGAAAATGTGGCGTAATAGTTTGGAAAAGTCGATTGGATTTATGAAATATATTTTGATTGGTGTAACTTTACGTCCTGTTTGCCTGCACTGCACATGAAAAGTAATCGAATGTAGCGTGTCTCCACTGATTTGCCAATGCACTGAATTATTTAAAGAAACACGTGTGTGCAACGCTGTTATCTGTCCTGTGGGGAGTTGGGAGAGCTTTTGGCACTAAACACCAAACGCCGCACACCAGCTATGCGAAGCACAAGCCGGCTGCTGCTGCTCGGCATCACTTTGCTCAGATAATCTCGACCGCTGGTTTCGAAATAAGCGCAGCTTTGGAGGCGTGGGGCTCCCGGGTGAGCGGGTAAACGTGGGAGAGGGGGGGGGGGTGCAGCCTCATAGACACGGGCTCAGGACCCGCGACCTGGCGGCGTCGCGCGGGGGCTTAAAGCCGCAAACATGTACACGGCACCCGGCCCAGGGGTGGGAGGATGAGCTCCCGTTGGTCCCCGGATGGTGGCCGCCGTTAAAGGGCTCTCTCGAAGGACAGAGGCCGCCCTGGCTCTCCCGTAGACAGTATATGGCTGCTGCCAGGGCTCCCGTAGGAATATCAATTTGGACTCTACCGAGCGGTGGCTAGGTGGCTACCGTCAGGGCTCTGCCGTAGGGTAGGGTGGGGTGCTTACCGTCAGGGCTCTCGCGTATAGGGTGGCTGCATTCAGGGCTCCCATATCAATATCAATTTGGGCTCACGCGCGTGTGACATGGCGCCAGAGTGCCGTGAAGGACAACTGCACCTCAATAGTCCACTCTGTCGCGATCTGCTCTCCCCACCCCGCACTCCGCACTGCCCAGTGCACCGACAACGACCAGCGCGTCCTACGCACAAGGACTCTCTACTTGTCAACGCGTAGCTGGCTGCAACCTGTTGTAAGCAAATGGGGTGGCTTAGGGGTGGCTCGCACGAGCGTTGACATGCCAGCCAAATACCTGTTCAGGTTTGTCAGCTTTGCCGGTCACAACTTGGGTACGCAGCCTCCTGGAGCGAAAGGATTTGAGTTGGAGGATGCGTTGTGTCCCGCTGTGGTGGTGCCGGCGGACGCACATATGTCAGCGAACGTCTATAGTCGCTTTATCAAATTGTAAAACAGAGCCGTCTCTGAGCACAAACTAACGCTTGTTGTCCTCTCGCAGGCGAGGCCGCGGCCGTCGCCATGGGCGAGGTGCGGGTGCTGCGGCGGCGCTGGCTCATGCTGGCGCTCTTCTCGGTGACGTCCATGGCCAACGCGGCGCACTGGATCATGTACGCCATCATCGCCAACATCGCGACGCGCTACTACAACGTCTCGGACATGGCCATCAACTGGACGTCCATCGTGTTCATGGCGGCCTACGTGCCGCTCGTGTTCCCCGCGTCGTGGATCATCGAGAAGAAGGGCCTGCGCGTGGCGGTGCTGCTGGGCTGCTCGCTCATGTGCGCCGGCTCGTGGCTCAAGGTGGTGTCGGCCGCGCCCGACCGCTTCGACATCGCCTTCATCGGCCAGACCATCATCGGCGTGGCGCAGATGTTCACGCTCGGCGTGCCCGGCAGGCTGGCCGCCGTCTGGTTCGGCGCTAAGGAGGTCTCCTTCGCCTGCGCCGTCGGCGTCTTCGGCAACCAGGTGAGGCGTGAACGACTGCGTGCATGGTGGAGACTTTTTCAATTTTTATTGTCTGATTCTCAAGAAAGGCCAAAATATGTTAATCACTCTAACCCCTTAAAAATGAAAATAGAGACAGGCTTTTAGGGACTGTCTACAAATGTCGCCCTGTCCCGCCCGCCCCGCTCACCCGCACGCGTGACCTGTCCGCAGCTCGGCATCGCGCTCGGCTTCCTCATCCCGCCCGCCATGGTCGGCAACCACGAGGACCTGGAGCAGATCACGGCGGACCTCAAGGTGCTGTATTACGTGTTCGCGGCCGTGCCCACGGCCGTCCTGGTGCTGCTCGTCCTCTGTGAGTACCGCCCCCTCCCCCCTTTCGTGCTCTTGGTAAGTAGTACCGCGGCTCACTGCTCGCGCCCTGCTGACCTCCTCTGTCTCGTTGGCAGTCTTTGAGAAGCGGCCGCCGGTGCCGCCCAGCCTGGCGCAGGCCGCCCTGCTCAAGCAGCAGCAGCACCAAAGTAACGGCGCGACCAACGGCCACCAGACCAAGAGCCAGCCCAGCCAGGCCGAGGAGGGCGTGCCGGGGAAGGCCAAGTCCGCGCGCGGTGACTCCCACTACGCGCGCACCATCAAGCAGCTGCTCACCAACCCCAGCTACCTGCTCCTCATCCTGGGCTACGGCATGAACGTGGGCACCTTCTACGCCGTCAGCACACTGCTCAACCAGATTATCCTCGCAAAGTTTCCACTCGCTGAAAACCCGGTAAAATAAGGCGTTTTGAACTTTGAAATGAAGTAAACCAATAAGTTCTGTTAATTAAGACAAAACTACATTTTACTTGTCCTGACAGTCGGCTAATGAAGATGCAGGTCGTGTGGGTCTGACGATGGTATTGATGGGTGTCCTTGGATCCATAGCTGGTGGCCTAGTTCTCGATACTTGGCACAAATTCAAGTAAGTGAACATCACCGTCAACTCTCAACCCTATTTGGTCACCAAGCAAAAGGACTGATACCATTCTCTTTACAGAGAGACCACAATTGTAATATACATTCTAGCAGTGCTTGGTATGGTTGCATTTACGTTCAGTGTCAGCAGTTCAAATATGGTTTTGGTCTATGTGACTGCAGGATTTTTAGGGTAAGTACACTTACTTTTCTATTTTCACATTTGTTCGGTCCTGGTGATGTATGGATTTTTGTGGCTTGCAGATTCTTTACAACTGGTTATGTGCCTGTTGGGTATGAGTTTGGAGCTGAGCTTACTTACCCACATTCAGAAAGCACATCGGTAGGCCTTTTAAATGCAGCTGGAGAAAGCATAGGAATCGTCCTAGTTCTTGGTGCGGGGGAAGTCCTGCAGTTGTATGGAAGTGAAATAACAAATTATGGGTTCATTGGAACTCTGATCCTTGGATTATTTATCTCACTTTTCATTAAAAGTGAGTGTACCACTAAACTTTCAAATGTTTTGTAACATCCTTGATATTGTATGAATTAAAATTCACTTGTTTTTGCCTGCAGATGATTTGCGCAGGTTAGCAGCTTCAAAACAACAGCAAGACCTGCATAATGAGCAGACTGGAAAAGAGCACACAAGATTCTGACAACAAGCTCCTTCCCTGCACCACATCGACCAAAAGACGGCGTGATGTTGGGAAATTTGGGGAAAGTCATGTATAAACAACGGCTAGTGACTGAAATGGATTACCTATTTTATATTCTAAACCTGTGCAAAGCAAGTGCTGATATTGAATCTGAAGTTGTCAATTTTGATGGTGTAAAATGTTGTGAATTTGCCATTGGTTGTTTGTATTCCTGTTATCATAGTATTAAGTATAGTTATTAGTGTTAACTATATCATTGTTTTCTTCTAGAAATGTGAACCTTTCATTTTGTTTTATGTAAAGAAGTGCCAATTGAAATCACCTATAGAAATATTGAAACTTACACTTTTTTATGAATTACTCTTGCCATTTGAACAAGCTCAAGGTTTTTGTTGTATTTTTTCCTTTAGAATTTAAACTAGGAAAAAAAGGTTATTGGTTTGATTTTTAAGCTGTTGCTGTCAAACACTCTTTGGTTATAGCTACTGAACTAAAACTTCTTACAAAACATATCATAGAGGAGGAGATGAATTTCTAACTGTCTTCAAACTATACTAATCTAAAATTATGAAGCATAACTTAACATTTTATTCTAGCTGGTAGTTCTTTGATATACCTTAATTATTTTCCCCCGTAGCACTTTAATGTAGGGGAGGAAATTCATAATATCCTTCAAACTTTAGTTTTTGAAATGTTACATGAAATCAAACTCAGATAGGCAATAAACACTGCCTAATTGTGCCAATGATCTCATTTGGGCAAATGTGCGTAAATTGGATAGTACCTGAATGTAAAGCAATGTATTAATGTATCTGGACCAGAAAGCACAAGGGTTCATTCTAGGTCATAAGAAAATGTGTGATCCAATTGTGACTGTTGAGAATTTTTGTAATATCGTAGTTATTAAAAATAAATTTTAACAAATTATCTGTGGTAATATTTTAAATTTTGGTACCTTAATAAAACACATATGATGAATTGGCATCTCTTTTTAATAAAGCAGTCTTACAAGGTATAACAATTAAAATGAAGTCTAGACTATAATACAGGTACTTCTATTTCAGGTCTTTCAATCACTTCCTTAATGCTTTTCTAGAGCAAGAGTGAGAAGATCATTCATGCTACTGAGTAAAGTGCGGGGGTCTTCCACAAGACCAGCTCCAACCATAGCGTTAGAAAAGAGCTGAAACCGATTACAAAAAAATTAGATTTGCCTTCAGTGTTAAGTTTGTTTCCATTTTATATAAAAAGAATTTACCTGATTAGTGACAAGTTCTGCTAATTTAGTATTATCCTTGGAAAGAGTACTAAGTTTTTTAATGATTGGGTGCCTGCAAGAAACAATGTCAGAGCATATGTAAAAAAATAAATCAAAACTTCAGTGATTTTTTCGCAAAGAAGTTCTACTACAGTACTTACTTTGGATTTATTTCCAACTGAGGCTGAAGAATTGAGTAATGTGAGTCTTGAGGTATGCTATGAGCTTGAGTACGAATGAAATGACGAGCGGCTGCCATCTCTTCTACAGTTACAACACAAGGATGTGATTCCAGGCGATTCGTTACCTTCACACTTTGCACCTTTCCTTTAAGGGTGGTCTTAATCCAAGGAATTAAGTCATCCACCTCTGTTTGAGATAAACTGCCAGCCTCTAGAATGTAAAGTAAAAATAGGTATTAATATGAATTACAAAATACCTCTGCACCTAGTATATGGGCAGTAATCTTACCAAACTGAGATTCCTCAGGTTCTTTGCTTTGTCTCATTTCTTTTTCAACTGATACAATGTTTTTCATGTCAAACTGACGAAGTTGCATAAGTACAAGTTCATCATAGGGTTCATAACAGAAAAGAACTTCAACATCTTTTTTGCGAAGAGCCTCTAGGTAAGGTGAACTCTCAGCTAATTCCCGACTAAAGAGAAAAAGAGTGATAGAAGTATAATGTGACAAGTGAGTTAAAGACAAAAATTCTCAACTTGTGTTCTTGTTACCTAGGAGCAGCTAGATAATAAATGTCTTTCTGTCCTTCTTTCAAACGGCTGCAATATTCAGGTATACCAACAAGTTCACCTGGTTGACCACTGGAGGACTCAAATCTGAGTAATTTTGAAATTTCTTCCTGCAGCCAAAAAATTAATAAAATTAAGTGCAACATAGAAAATAAAAGTAACATTAACCCTTCATTAGCAGTTTAATAGAGAGACTGTACCTTCTCAATTTGTTCAGTGCTAGTTACAATACCCTCTTTTAAAAATAGACCATAATGCTTATAAAATTCATTGAAAGATTCCTTTTCTTTCTGAGAACGGTCATGAAGAAATCTTAAAACTCGGTTTGTAAGAACAGTGCGGAGTTTCCTGTGATAAAATTGACATTTAGAGACCATTTCAAAATAATGGGTGGTATTTGCATGGCGAAAGCACACATTATTCGAGTTTACCTGATGAGGGCAGAATTCTGAAGAAGCTCTCTGCTCAGATTAAGAGGGATATCTTCAGAGTCCACAACACCTGCAAAGAATCATGATTCAGAGCTAAGTGGTACAATTTTGAGATAAAATTTTTGTTTAAAAGTGAAGAATGTATATAAAATTACCTTTAACAAAACGTAGCCATTTGGGCAAGATGTTATCGGCTTTGCTCTTGATGAGGACTTTTCTTGTGTAGAGTGCAACTCCAACATCAGTGCTTTGGCTCATTTCAAATAAACCTGAAAAAAGATTATGAACGAAAACAAAAAATAACATTTCATTGCTTTGACATTTAGTTTTGAATCTAGTCTTGCAAAGTAAAGTTCATCTTACCTGGTTTGCTATCAGGAAAATAAAGCAAAGCTCGAATAGATATGGGGGCGTCTGTTTTATAATGCAACCAAAATCTTGGAAGATCAAGAGAGTTACTAATAAACCTATAAAATTCATTGTGTAAATTGTCTGAGACTTCTTTTGGATCCTTGAGCCAAAGAGGCTGAAATAAATATGTTAATGATATAAGACACCTGTGACAGGAGTAAAAGTTCAATGCTTCTCACTTAAAAGTTGTAGTACCTCAATGGTGTTAGCACGCTCTCCATTAAGAATGATGGGGCTTCCCACAAAGTTGCTGTACTTCTTTATAATTTCTATAGGATAAAAATTAGAACTGTAAGTGTGATGTATTTCTAGATAGGTGCATCATTCCAAAATAGAATATATATTTTTACTAACCTTTAACTTTATCTTCATCACTAAACTCCCTTGAGTCAGGTTTCAGAGAAATCACAATTTTGGTACCAGGTTCAACATTTTCAGCCTCTGTGATTTCATAAGTGCCAGACCTAATTTTCAAGATATGTTTAAGCAAGAGAATTATAAAAGTTTGATTGGTACAGGAAAAAATTGAAAATCCCATATTTACCCGTCAGATGCCCATTTATAGCCCGGAGTGCCTGTAGTGGCAGAGCGAGTGAAAACTTCAACAGAATCAGCAACCATGAATGAACTGTAAAATCCAACGCCAAACTGGCCAATGATAGAGGAGGCATCTGTTCCCTTCTCTTTCATCTGTTCCAAAAACGCCTGGAAAATTTTAAAAATATAACTTAATACCACGGCTCAAATGTTCAAAGTATTTACAAATTAGAAAAGTGTCAGGTCTAGAAAAGTGTCAGGTCTAGAAAAAGTCAAAACTCCAAAAAAATACCTTGGATCCTGATCTTGCAATTGTTCCCAGGTTTGAAACCAACTCATCACGAGTCATACCAATGCCCGTGTCCTAGAAGAACAATAGAAAAATATAGGTGAAATATTGAATAGTAATTCTTTTAGAAAGGGTGATGTGTAAAATACTGAGGATCCCCGACCTGAGTAGATTTAAAGATAAAAATAATTTGTTAAATGAATCATGATTGTGAGGGTAGCATTGTAGAGTGTAAATGGACAAATTTGTTGAATATTTCGCAGTGCTGCCCCCCTCCCCATCCCCTTGCCCCCTCTCCACATCGGTTCCTATCGCTCGGAGGGCATCAGAACATCGCAGGGAATTCAGATGAATTCCAGGTCTGCGGGTCTGACGGAGGGTAACCGGAGCCTCGTCACGGAGAGGAGCGGAAAGGAAGAGGGGGGAGGAAGGGGTCCGTAGCTAAGCCCGCCTGGGGCTGCTCCAGGGGAGCAGGCCGCGGAGCGGGGGGCCCGTGGGGGGGTCGGACCGGGTGGGGGTCATTCCACTATCGATTCCTGTCCGCACTGGCTCCGCGGTGCGCAGAGCCGTGCCCCCGCCCCCCG